CTACATTTCGATAACATAAATACAGAATATATAAATATACAAGTAATACAGCCATACACAGCTAAAAAATAGGGTGTTCACTTAAAAACAGAGTTCCCAATGCAAAGTATCTGGCAGTCCCTTCACAGTCACTGCTGAGCAGAAACAGGGTGTGCAGAACCAAGGGGACCCGGGCTGCATCCTTGAGGAGGGCAAATGGTTGTCAGTTTATTCAGATAGGCCTCAAATGAGCAAGACCGCGCTTAAATCTCACCAAAGCCAAAAGACTTCAGGTACCTGTCAAGAGGTAAGCCAACACCCCAGTACCCCCCTAACCAGAGAGAACAGACGCCCGACGCCCTGGCCACGCTGCTGTGGGTGCAGCAGTCGGCTGTCCCGTACCACTGGGGCAAGGAGGGCAGGCTGGAGACGGACCCGCACACACAGGGAGCATCTGCTGTTCAGAAATGCATGACATGGTTTGGGCATGGGATTGTGTAAAGCACTATCCTGAGCACTTGAGACTTTGGGTACTGTGGCTCCAGCTCCCATGGCTTTGATGTGCTTCAGTAGCCTCTCTGTCCTTTCACTGTTGTGACCAAGCTCCAGGCTTGTAAGAACCCTTCCCTTCCTCCTGGATTCTGCTGTTAATTTCTAGTGACTTTTGGGAACAACCAGAATTATTATGACACGATTCAAAGAGGTGCTCTCACAGACCCCAGCTTGCAGCATCCCTAGCAGCATCACAGAGCCGGGTTCTCTGGGGCACCTGGGGCGGTGGCTTGGGACATACTTCTGATCCTTAAGGAAACTGGAAGGGAGTCCTGAGCACAGTAGGAAGAGGTAAGTGGGTTCACATCATCCCTGGAAGGTTTGCCAGCATGAAGGACCTTCCCCATGCAATGACGGCGCAGTGAGGTGGCCAAGTTGCTGCTGACAGAGTGGCAATGACCCCTTCAAAGGACCTGATAATACTCATCCAAATTGTGCAGGGTGGGTCTGAAAAATCCACTCAGGAGCCATCGTGAGACTCACGTGAGTCACACCTCAGGCACGGTTAGCAGCAACTGAGCCAAGTGATCTGGATGTTTTTGATCACAGAGTTTAAAGAAGAAAAGGAGATCAAAATGCCTAGGATGGTGGTCTTAGTGATCGCCACCACACTTTACTTACAGCAATATAATTGTCTTCCATGTCGTGACCATGAAACACATTTACCACCAGCCCCTAGCTGCTTATGATACAGGGTTTAATCCATGGTGCTGTGGTAAACAGGGGGCTTGAGAACAGCAGTGCATGGTAGGAATCGTCCCCTCGACAGTCAGCCGTGCAATGGAAACGTGCTGCTGCCCAGCCAAGAGCTGGGCAGTGGGATCGAGGGCCACACTGCTCCATAACCATTTCTGAATGCTGGGAAATCTCTATGTGCCACTGTTACAGATCTGGCAACTGTACAATAAAGACCTCTGAGGAAGCTAGTACCTAGCATATTCATTCTGATCTCACAATCATCTTTTTAAACATCATTGAGCAAACACTGAAACCTAATCAATCATCTTTTACTTAATTGCATCTTGTCACCACTTTAGCTTAACATGTATTCCTTGCTTAGCCAAAACAACATGATTGAAACACCTTGAAGAGCTCACTTGATGCATTTATATTAGAGAGGGGTTAATTTCCTAGGGAAAATGATCACTGTAAGGTGCATGTAATAAACTGCTGTCATGACCTCTAGCCTTCAAGCTCCCATATGTGCAATCATTGTTTGTGGTTTCCGTGGAAGTGCCAGATGCTAAGAATTTTTGGCAAGAGTTTATCAATTTGACTCAGTGTAAGATATTACTGTGATATGGCCCATTAAACATTTTACTTCCACCTGATCGGTGACATTCCCTTGACAATAGAAGAGTAAAGCAGAAATCAGAAAGGTCAGAGGTTGCTATATAATCTTTTACTGCAGGTCCCAGGTTAAAACCACAATGATCACACTCCAGTAGGGTAATTCATTCCACAAAAAAAAGTGACATTTATTTTGCTTTAATGAACTTTGGCCTTTGCCAGATATAACGGGTCCGCTGGAAATCATTGGCTATGCATTCCTTCCCTTGACCAGCAGCAACCCACAGTGGCATGGGAAACGTTACACATGCCAGAGGGCTTGACTGTGCCGTGCACGTGGCACCAGAGATGGTAGAATATGGGGGGGGGGAAAAAGCTAAGGCATCATCATACAATACACCAAGGGAAGAGGAGATGGTATGTACAAGCAATGAAAAGAAAAAAAAAAAAGGTGGCAAACAGTCATCCAAAAAATCAGCAAAAGATTATGGTTACTTCAGCTATAAAATGGGATATCTGATTCTTTCCTTGGAAATGGATTGTTTTTTCAACATCCAGCCCAGAAGCAGAGGTAGAGTTGGGACAAGGCAGTTCTCCAAACTGTAGGTCACATTATAGTTCTCATATAAGTCCCTGTAAACACTAAAAATGCCATTTTGATCCTGCCAGTAATGAGGGATGAAGCAAGGTTGTGCCTATGTGTAGAGTCTATAAACCCGGTATGTTTGAGATGGTGAAGATGCTTTTCTATGACTCTAAAGTAGCACAGCAGAAGGGTGGGGAGGAAAACTTGATGAATCCATTGAGATCGGTGATGACAAATGTTTATAATGTGCCATATGAAATCTGCTTGCCTTCTGCCTTGCAAGCAGTGAGGATCACCTGAGTTCTTTATAGATGTTTGCTATCATGCAGAGAGAAAGGAAATTGTTATTTTGATACACAAGGAAAGGGAAAAATAATTGAAGGGGATGGGTGAGAAAAGAAAATTCTTCCAATTCCAAAACATATCCAAGGGCTCACAACCTTTAACTGAAAATCCACATCCCTGTCAGAAAGCGAGAGAACGGTTGCTAGCAAAAGCATATGGGTGCGATGGACCCATCTCCCTGGCCATGGCAGCCAGCAGTTCGGGCTGCTGCCACAGAGGGAGGAGATGGGAACCTGCAGGGAGGGGAACATCACCCCAGCATCCTTGCAGAGACATGGGTCCCTTCGCTCGCGAAGGGCTGTGTGTGCGGCAGACGGCGGGTCTGCCACCACGCAGCAGTGGGAAGGGTTTGCGTTTGCTCTCCTGCACTGCACACACACAGTCTTCTCCCCCAGTGCCTTCCTCGCCTCCACAGAGTGAAAATACACACACTTATCTTGCAGATAAAACTTTGCTTTCTCAAGAAACCTCTAACATGCTTGGTCGACATTTCCACGCTGGGGAGGAATGTGACCTTATTTTTTCCCTCAGACCTATCATCTGATCCTTGCCATCCACCCCTCCAGGACACAAGGAGGACCTTTCTCCGTCAGCGAAGGGGCGGGTAGCTGTCCGCGGGACTCCTCAGCAGGACCCCCCTCTGCTGCGGCCGTGGTGCCCCTGGCACTCGGCGGGGCTGCTCTCTCCCCGGGTGCTGAGGCTGCGGGGTCCCCGCTCTGGCCTCCCCCATGACAGGAGTCCCAGAGAGTCCTGTGATCCTGCAGAAGGTGCTGAGCCCCACGGGAGACTCTGCAGCACTGGCCTGGTACCAGTCCTCAGCCTGGAGGAGTCGGATTAACCGATGCTTTGGACTTGTTTTCGGCTATTATGGTCAATATATTAAAGGTATTTATTTAAGAAAGTGCCTATCCTGCCAATCTTTCCCCATAAGCTCTATTTTGAACACACCCTATAATTACTGATATTACTCTGGCAAATTTTCCCCATGAAGTTTTCTCCACTAAGAGCCATGACCGTACTTGTCTGCCTCTCCACATTATAATTATCACCAGGCAATATTTATAACTATACTATTATTATTTATGATATTTTATGCCCTACGAAAACCTATATGACATACGCTCAAACTTCAGCATCTGAGACATTCAGACTTCAGCTGGGACATTCCCTTCAATTTGTGCACATGTTCTTCTTACATTTGCACTAATAGGTTAGTTGGAGTATTTAATGTAAATACAGGATTCCCATCAGTGTGAAACCTGCAGGACTTGGGTTGGACTCCAGCTCAACATATCTAAACCTCCCATTGTGATCTCTTTCATACGTTTTTTTCCCCAGTTGGTGCACATTTCAGGACTTCTGATGGTTCAGGCTAGAACTGTATATCATATATTCTTGCTGAGGCGAGATAATTAACTAAAGGAGTGCTTAATTATTCCAGATGCACAATGGAGCATAGCACATTTATGCCTCATGCAAAACATAAATAAACAGAACAGAATGAACAACACGTTTGCCAATCATGGTCTAGACTTGAAATTTGGCACTGCAATACTTACAAACAATTGTAAATGTTTTATTCTCACACTTAAAAAAAAAATTTAAAAAACTCTGTCTTGTAAGCACCTTTAGTTTTCATTATTTAAGATCAATACTAACCTAAATGCCTCTGTCCCTAACATGCATCTCCTCTCCAGGGTCATAGACCTTTCTTATTATGAAATCACTGGCTTTCTCCACAAATATTACTGTTAACCAGTTTCTCAGTATCATATGCATAAGGGCTATAAACTAATGAGCAGATCTAGGTTATGTAGAAAAAGTGTAGAAAGGAAACAAATGTTGAACGTCACATTTACATTAACTTCTCACAGTTCAAATGGCAATTTATCCACAACATAGTATGAATCATGCAGTAAGAAAAGGGAGGAATCTCCAGTTTCTTTGATTTATTTGTCATATGGTCGACTGATGTCAGTATCAGTGGCTTTAAAAAAAAAAAACTTTAAACATCCAAAAGAAAGGAAGAGAGAAAGGAGGAAAAGGTCTAGCTTTCCGCAAAATCCATTTCCTTTACAACGATGAGCTCAAACCAAACCAAACCAAAGGCTGCTGACGAGCAGGGTCTTCTGTTCCTTCCGTGCTTGTCTCGTGGTCTGGTGCAAGCTGGGAATCAAGGGTATGGGACTGGTGGATGCGTTTTGTTTATATATATATATGTATATAGAAACATCCAAAAGAAAGGAAGAGAGAAAGGAGGAAAAGGTCTAGCTTTCCGCAAAATCCATTTCCTTTACAACGATGAGCTCAAACCAAACCAAACCAAAGGCTGCTGACGAGCAGGGTCTTCTGTTCCTTCCGTGCTTGTCTCGTGGTCTGGTGCAAGCTGGGAATCAAGGGTATGGGACTGGTGGATGCGTTTTGTTTATATATATATGTATGTATATAGGTAGGTATTAATATATATATACATACATACACATATATGCACACAGATATAGTCTTCCTAAAAATGCTCTTTGCAGTCCAGAGGCAGCAGGAGTCACTGTGAAGGAAGAGCTGGGCAACATATGGCTGTAGAGTCTGCACTGGAAAAAGTCACTGGCTAAATATACGCCGGCTGTTTGTTTTCTTTTATTTTCATGAGGCGAAATATGAGCTCTGCATAGAGTACAGCCTGTCAATGGGGTTTCCTACTCTAGCCTGCATGGAGTTAACTTCGGAAGAGGCAAGAAAACAGTCGCTCAAGCTAGTTAAAGAGGTATCACTGTCGATATCATGAAAAATGGAGTCGTTTCCTGCAAATGAAACGTATATGTTAAGCTGGATTCTGTGCAGCCAGGGGAGGACACAGTACACACAGATGCTCGTACGTTGCACACTGCAGCAAAAGGGAATGCTCCTGATTTTGTTTTTACACATTAACATAATTTCGCTCTAAGGGTCTGACCTACAAAGAGGAAGGCTAGCAACCAATTTGCAGAGTTCAACTGGCAGCAGTGCCACTCAAATCTGCCAGGATTTAATTTATACTTCAGTCAGCAGCACGAAAGAGAGTCTTGGCTGATGACAGGAGCAAATTGTGCCAGGGAAGAGCAGGTCCCCAGCTCTCCGTGAGCTGGGATCCGGCATTCACGGGGGCACCGGGGCCACTGAGGAAGGTGGGACCAGACACTGAGTGTCCGCGACAGGGAGAAGCGGTCTGAGAGCCATAACCAGTAATGGTCTTCATTTACATACAAGGTAAAAGACAGATCTACGAATGCAATGGGACCCAGGAGGAGACCCCACTTCCCTAGCCTCAAGTGAGCTACAGTTGTAAACATGCTTTCATTTCAGAAAATTCCACTCTTTTGGGGCTGGTTTGGAACAGCACCTTTTATTTCCCTTAGCAACTAAGATTTCAGCTTACTTCAACTCTTAAGGTACCAGAAAGAGCTCTAGCTCAAGTCCTGTGAGCACTAAGAAAGTGTTAGTCAGGCTCTTTTTCCTCATGCACTCATTTGAAACGGCTTTGCGCTATCTCCTGCACTGGGTTTGGAGCACAGAACCTGCCTCTCAAGGAGTTTTGCTTAGAAAGCCAAGCAAATTGTTAGCAACAAAATCACAAGCCGTCTAATGCTCATTAGCACTTCAGATGTCTTCAGCTTCTTACAGGATTTACCAAATTGCCTGGTGTGTACCATGGACTTGTCTCAGTGGGAAAAGTAATAACACAGACCCAAAGCAGGTTTCTTGTTGGCGTGTGCATGCCGTGCTCATGAAAGTGATATGCACGTGGACCTCTACAATGAAGTGCTCCTGGTCAGCAGAAACGAGTCTAACATAACAGGCCCTTGTGGGCTACAGCAAGGCCAATAATCACAGTCTGAGAAATCCTCTTAAATTTTATTTAAATGCCACACTGCAATTGTCCAGAATCAATTATTAGGCATTTAATGCTTGTGATGCGTTTGGTGTACCTATCCACTTGATGGTGTGTGGTCAGGAAATCGTGAAAGCAAACCATCATCTTGATTTTGGGCAGAGAATAAAATTATGCAGGAGAAACGTCCTGTGGTGACACATCTCTTAGTAGCTCAAGAACTGTTCTTTAACAAATCCATGCATCCAGTCTGAGGGATCTTAGAGGGGTGCTTATTCATTTTGGAATGAATAGATTACTTCTCTTTATTAGACCACTTTTCAAGGCACTTTTTCCCCAAAGCTTCTAAGAAAAAGGAAAAACTTGTGAGGGAGCTAGAATTTGGTAGTTTATTTTTCAATGTCTTGGATAGTAGTTTAAAAAAGTGGAGCTGGAGCGGTGATGTTGCTTGGTTTATCATTTATCAGAATTACACTGTGAAATAGTTCTGAAGGGTGTCCAGAGCCTCGGATGAGCTCTCTTCTACCCCCTTATGTGTACATGAAAATATACACACAAAATGGACTAGTACAAATTCCCTGGTACAAATCCCAGAAAAGATATTATAAAAGCAAGTAACTCTACTGCACCTTTGGTGTGTGAACTAGCATACAAACCCTGCTATTTCTGATGTGGCAGAATGATGCATGCCTTACCATAAGGGTTCATGTGGTCGCCTGGCATTTGTGGAGGGGTAAGACCCTGCTGAAATGGGTCTGTGCCATAACTGCTTTGATCCATTGCTACAATCTGCTGCTGTGGTGGTGCAAGTGGTGTGTAAGATGTCATCATCCCTTCCATTCGGTTGGACATTACTTCTGCAAAGCAAACAGGAGGGTACAGTCACTGCTTAGGAACAAAGAAGCAGCAGACAGTAGCATCAGTGGCAATACTGAACCCAAGCACAGAGTGAACGCAGCTAGGTGTGTCCTGTCATTCAGAGGAGCCTTCCAAATTTTGACTGAGAGTACAACCCTGAGCAGTAAGTTGAAAGACTTGTAGTTTGGACATGAGTTTGGACATGAGGAAAAATTTCTTTACTGAAAGAGTGGTTAAACATTGGCACAGGCTGCCCAGGGAAGTGGTTGAGTCACCATCCCTGGAGGTATTTAAAAGACGTGTAGATGAGGTGCTTAGGGACATGGTTTAGTGGACATGGTGGTGTTGGGTTGACGGTTAGACTCGCTGGTCTTAGAGTCTTTTCCAACCTTAATGATTCTGTGATTCTATGATTCTAGTTCCTGACTATATAATTTCTGGAGCTCCTGGGTGCTGTACCATATCTTCCCAAAGTCTGTCCTGTCCGTGACATAGCCCTATTATTCTCTAACTTCTGTTGGTACCAGTTTTTCTGGCTCTGCGTAAAGAGGAGGATTTGAGGCTGCAAGGCCTTGGGAGTTGGAGAACCTCAAGAGCATCCACGGAGCAGCAGGGCAAGCCCTGGTGCCTCTGTGCACCTCCTGACCCAGCTGCTGGGGCACAGGAGGGGCTCCCTGTGCCTTGGCTGTGGCAGCGATGCTGACGCCCTTGCAAGCAGCCTGCAGATGCCGAGCTAAGCATGGTCCCCCTTTCTTCAGGAGAAAAAAAACTGGAGGATCTACCTGGCGTGAGATTTCCTCCAGTGAAAGCACCTCTGCACTGCACACAGAAAGGAGGTAACAGCTTCTGTGTAAACACCTCCAGGGTCTGGCCCCATGGGAGAACTCTGGGATAACCTGGGGTGGGCACTCAGATACAGCACCTCTGTGTGTTTCCACTGAGGATGGCACACATTATCCACAGACTTGTGCATGCCCTGTGTGGCTGTACCTAAGACATTATGTGGGAATGGCACTTCAAGAAACCTTGCAGATTCTTTTCCCCTTGCTTTGCCTTCATCACAAATCCCCTACCTTGCCCTAGTCGTTGCGAGTTTTGTTGCTCCTGCTGCTGCTGATGCCTTCGTGCTAGTTTTTTCATCTGAATAAAAGAAGAACAGAACAATCTCAGGGCTCTGAATGAAATAATTTTATTTCCTTACAAAACTCTCTGCAAACATTGAATCAATTGGTACAGACCATTTATATTCATGCACACACCACTATGGGTTCAGTTTCACTTCTAAGCTTAAACATTTCAGTTTCCAGTTCATATTTGCATGCATATTTGCATGCAAAATTTACTCCCAACCTCATGTTGCTTTGAGTACATGAACTTAATGTCTGTGTTTGAAAGTTGCCTCTCTTGTATGGATGTAAACAGCAGTGCATGCAAAATATGTACAGTTCAGTCCCTGGGATCTCTGTGGTACGCACTACATCTAGGGGGAGGGGGGAAAATCTGTGTTGGAGGACAATTTGCGTTTTACTTTTGAGAACTTGACAAACAACCTACCTTTGCTCTTTGGTTTTGAAACCAGACCTGGACAACTCGCACGCTGAGTCCTGTTTCAGCTGCTAGTGTTTCTCTGACCTATAGGAGGAAATGTTTAATGATGTAATTTTTTGTATTTTTTTAAAAAACTAATCACTTATGTTAGGAGGAATATGCCTGTACTAAAAAAAACCTGCATGTACATAATTACTTTTAAAAATTCCTGATATTTTTGCATAGTTTGTTCAAGTTCTGCCCTTCACATCACTACCAGTTTCATAAGTACCGAACAAATAGTCTGAGCTGTGTAAAATGACACTAAGTCATTTCATGATTTTTATTTTACCCATAAAATAGTTCTGTACAAAAAGATACAAATTTGGCTATGAACATTTTTTATATTGTTGAGGTAAAACTTCATACTTTAAAATGGCAAAAAGGCACATTGCACTGTCCCAAAAGACATACTTTGTACATCAGCAGGAGAATGTCACTTTTTGCAAAAATGACAGCTTTCAGGATGCAACTCCATTTTTTTCCAATCAAACTTAGGAGGAAACAGTTACCTGAGTTGCTTTTCGCAAAGATTTGATTTTCATCAGCTTCATCAGTGAAGCAATGTTATACCTTTCCCTAGCTGCTATAAACAAGATCAACAGCAGGGTTAAATTTCCTAAAAAAGCAAGACTGGAGGGACAAGTAATGGGGCCAAAGCTGAGCAGCCTAGTGACTCCCTCTGTGGTGGGAAGGAGAAGGGCAAAAGCCACTTGTTTACCTGGGCTCTGATAGTCAAAGACTACTTCATGGTTTATAAGAACCAAATATTGCTGTTCAGCGGGAATCAGTCATGGAGCTGCTCTACATACTGTGGGTGAATATCCAGAAATAACAATGAGCTGGTCCTAAGCTGCTGATTGCTCCAGGCTGAGACGGTATTTGGGTGAGCATCGCCATACGCTGGCCTGGTTTCTATATTCACTCCAAGGCACCTGCTGCTGTTCCAGGAAGGGGCAGGAAGGGGCAGGGGGCTATCTGGAGCTGTGGCCTGACCCTGTCACCCCCGTGGCCTGGCGTCAGAGCTGACTTCAGGTCCCTGATGAAGCACCTACCTTCCTACAGGGCTTGGAAGACACTTCAAAGGATGCTTTGAATGCTCGTCTCTGCTGCGTAGTAAGTATTGTCCTTGGTCGTTTAGGTCTTCTTGGGTCCTTCCCATCATCACTTCCTTTTCCTTGGGTTACTTGTCCTTTGGTGGGCTTAACATCTCCATCTTCATCATCACTTTTAACTGGTGAAAAATAAACAGGATATAAAATTGTACTTGTTCCACCAAGATAACAGGGTGTTTGAGAACTGCTCTTCAGGTGCCAAACTATTCAACAGGTTCAACTATTATCCCATATTTATTTGAATACCTAAAGTAACTATGGGCAGGAAGAGACTATCTTAGATTTGTGTGCACTGCCTAAATCAAATGTGACAAAAGCATAAAAATGTGTTTAATTTTTAATTGAGGGCATGGGACTGATCAGGGGATCGAAATTCAGAATATGCTTCAATAGTTCCAGGAGTTGGGACAGGGAGACTTTGTGCCCTTCCAGCATCGCTTGGTTCCCTGTGTGCTCACCTGCTGCAACCACACCAGCTGACACACACTTTTCCCTTCACAGCAGAGTGGCATCTTCTCCCAAAGCATTAGTTGCAGACAGGTACCACTGCCCGCACCGCTATGGCAGCAAAACAGTGTAAATGCAAATATCACAAAAATATCTCAAAGTCTGTTTAGCTAAATATAGTGCAGATTCCAGGTATTGTTCTGAACATTTTGAAGCTCTAGACATAATATTAAATATAATCTTTGCCATCTCATTTCTGCATCCCACAGAAAACATCAGTATTCTTTCTCTGTGTATTTCAACGTGTCTATATGTGCATGTACAAATTTCTCTTTCTTGCTAGATACATACAAGTATATATGTGCTTGTGTAGACCAAATAGACTACTTGCATTTTCTATAGTTAAATTCTGAATACTTGTACAGTCTGGAGATATTACGTGTGTTAGTATATTGTACTGGGAAGTCTCAATCGCAGTGGCAAAGGTTGAAGAGTAAGTACAAATTTTGTTGTGAAAAACAACTTTTCAACTCAGCACGTTTTATTTCACCAGACTACTGATTTTTCTTCCAGAAAACATTAATATCCTATTATAGGGACTTCAACATGAAGAAACACACTCCAATTTTTATATACTCAAAGATTACGTTTGGGGAATTAACAAATTAGACTTTAATTCATTTTAGGGTCTGATTATTATGCACCTAGCAATCTAATCACCTTTTACTTTAATAAGCATCTTTTACCTAATGATTAAAGAGAAGTTCAGTCATTTTAATAACCATGACATTATTAACTTTCCAGCATGCCATTTCTAAGGAAAGGTTTGTGAGGATTAATATTGCTCATTGGAGAGTTACTTTTGTGTCCAGTGGATAAATATTTGATTGGAGAAGGACACACTCTCAGCCAGGGCTATGTGAAATCATTTGCTCTCACACAGGCATCTGGGAGATGCGTGTTTTCAATGTATTAGACAATGGGAGAGAAAACATCCCATTTAATTTGTCAACTTGTTTTTCAGGTTTGGGTTTGGCTAACAGAGAATAGTGAGGAAAAAAAAGCATCTCCAGGAGTAAGAAAGTACCCATTGTGCCAAGGGGAAATGAAACTGAAACCAAGGTTGTTTTGTGCCGCTCTGGTAGCTTACTGCTGATCACAAAATACAAAATCTGGTCCTGAAGGAGAGCCCACCCGTGCCCAAAGCAGATCTCAAACGCAGCTGGCTGGCAAACAGCAGCCACCACACCAGTGCCCATGCTGTGAGTGAGGAAGGCAGGGGAGGAGGATCCCCATGCCCATCGTTGCAGCGCGGGGACAGCCCCGCACACGCAGCTTTTCAAAGGGGGTTTGTCTGGACACAGACAGGCGGACAGCAGGATGCTGAAGTTGGCGATGAGAGAATGACATGCTGAAGGGCAAGTAGGAAACTCACAGGCCTCAGGCAAATTCACAAAGAGCCCAAACCCTGCGACATGAGATTTACAGAGCAGAGCACTCAAGGTCCTGCAAATACAGTATGGCAATAAATAACATGTTGCTCCAAGAAAGGCCCCGGTCCCGCATGTCCTGCTGAGTCAGCAGTGACCTTTGTCTTGCAGCATTCCTGACAAGAAAATATAAATTTCAGCAATGTGGAGAATATGGCTCTCAGATTAGAGATTAAGGATAATTACTGCTCCCAGCTAAAGTGGAATAATGCATTTTCCCATAAACCAGAGACAAACATTCATGTCATTTGTACGCTTAATGGAATGGTAATTGTTGATTTTCTTAGACATTTTCTTGGGAAACAAGTGCACAATTATGATGGTTGGCAGCAGCTTGTGTACATGCTGTCTCTAGTCTTGGGATCAGCCAGGGCACACCGGCAGCAGGAGGTTTTCAGTCTCCCTGAGTGCATATGGCACAGGAAGGAGGCATCCCATCTCTCCTGGAACTGCCTGTGAGCCTGAAAGCCAGTCCTCACTGTAACCACTGCTAGATCCCCTGGGTTTTGGACTGGAGAACCCAAATCCAGTGTGTGAACTATTTGTCCTGTGCAGTACTGTGTTTCCAGCCCTGGACAGATAGCAAGCGGCTTTTGCTCACTCTCTTTTAAAACCTTCCCTAGGAAATGGGTGGAGGAAAGGAAGTATCTGTCTTTCCATCACTGTGAAGAACTCGGGGAAGACACCCATCAGCTGCTATCAGGTGTAAGGGCTCCACTGTCTTCTTCAGGAGAAGGCAAAAGCTCTGGTCACAGTATGGCGATTCTCTGCCTTAACTCCCAGGCCAAGTGGTGCAGACTCTTGCAATCACACTGTTCAAACCCCAGGTCCCTCTGAAGAGAGAGGTCACACTGCAGATTAGTAGTAGTGCATCTTAGTAAGATATCGAACCTGTCGTCCCTTGATCCCAAACAGTTTGCATTCACCAGGAACAGCGCAGGACTCTTGGAGATCTGTAACAGGCAAACTTTGCATGTCTCACTTCTGTACTATATGTAGCATACAAACCATAGTGGAGCTATCCTTGGGTCAACACATAGATGATCTCCTAGGTTGACAGCAGAATGGGGCTCAGACACAAAATAGCAGGTAGGCAACAGAGATGATCAGAAACTAGAGCCTTAGTAGCACAGAAGAGACATACTGCCAGGGAGAAGTCTGGGTGGAAGTCAGGAGAGCCAAGCACTGTACCTGGCCTGAAAGCATCCAGAGACAGACTCCACTAAACTCCTCATTCAAGTTACTGCTTTTTATTTTTCTTTTTGTGTGAGCCCACTTGCCTGCCTTAACGGGAGTGGATACGCAGGCAGCCTTGCCAAGCTGGCAGCTGCCCTGGCTTCCTGCACTGCACATGCTATTGCTGCAGCACAAACACAACCACTTCTTGGTTTCTTTCAGATTCTCCTCTACTTCTGTGTTGTACTTGTCGGTTTTTTTAAAGTTACCATTTGTGACTGGCAGAGAGAATACTCTTGAAAATCGTATTACTACTTTGTCCATTTTCCTAGCTCCGTGCTGACAGTGTGTGTGCAGAAGATCCCCTGAAAAATACGTTAAGTGGATGGAAGAATGCCTATGGAAAACAGCACACTTTGAATGAAGCCGCAGGTAACTGAAGTCAGCCTGATGCACATTTTGTGATCTTACAGAAAAATACCTTGATGAAAACAAGAAGTTTTTGTCCTTTACTAAGCAGCAAGTTAAGGAAGGGAGTCAAGTTAGGGAGAACAGACTGCAAGCAGGGATTTTTTTTTAGCTGTGCCTGCTAATTTGCACAGGTGGCATGTGCATATAAATAAAGTGGATGTGTAAATGGATACACTTTTCTACAAGAAAGCTCTACAAATGCTTGTGGCTTTTCCAGTCAGAGCAGGTGTGGGAAAAGCTCACCTGAGTCTGAGTCGTCTGGGCTGACCGAGCTCAACAAGTCTTTCTCTTTTTCATAGTCACTTTTGCAGAGCAACTGCCCTTCCTTAAGAACAAACTCGTCCCCTTTCCTCAGCTGTCGTTCGCAAACACAGCAGCAGAAGCAGCTTAAGTGGTAAACACACTCCAGGGCTCTCATCACGAATTCTGTTGGGGCGATCTTTTCCATGCAGCCACTGCACTTAGCAGCAAACAGCCTGTAAGAAAGAGAAGCAGTAAAGTCAAAGGGAATGTCAGATCATACACTGCATGAATTTAAATAGAGCAAATTCTTTAATTTAACTACAGATCAGCTTGGCTCATGCTTTTGCACACTGGGCGACTTGCATCCTTATTCTTGGAAACATCACAGGCATGCAATTTATTCAAATCTCACTCCCTTTGGTCTAGAGATTCCCAAATCACCTTTGCTGGATAGAAAACACTAAGATTTGTCCTTATCTCACTGTTTTGTTCCTCTTCAAAAAGAGAAACAAAAAGGAGCTCTCAGAGTTTGGATAACTTGTTCAAAACCAAATTTATTTTAATTCACCTTTTAGAGGAAGGGCCAATTCATGCTTTGTTTTATGCAGGCTCTCTGGTTTCAGCACTTAAACCCTATTCTGAATAGATTTCATGACTTTCCATTTTTGGTATTGTCTGTCTCTGAGGAGGCTGATAAATGAACACAGGAACAAGCATGAAAACTTAGTGCTGTTGCTGAGGACAAGATGACACACACACATGCAATCGCACACATGCAATTGATAAAGAGAGGAGTGAAATAACACGGCTTTTCTTTGGATGTTGGGTTATTCCAGAACAACCTGTCTTTGAAGGGAGTACTGTGCATTTTAAATGGTGTGAAACATCCTTTGGCAGAGATAGGCAGTGATACAATCTGCTAAATTACCACTATAATCACAGGCTCTAGAATATACACTGTATTCCAGACTAGTTCTTATTAAACTTTTATAAACCCCCTCTTTCATCCATCATTAATTTTCTAAGATAAAGTTAGAATGATTTAGATTAATTTTATTTTGCTTTTCTAATGGCAACTGGGAATGTCCCTAAGTGAGCTTTTAGGAAAAGGGATGCTTCAAATAAAGACGAATAGCTAAGTTACGTCCCTGTATCACACAATGGGCTTGGTGATTTGAAATTCAGTGTCTTTTATGGCAATACATCAAAGTGCAAGGTGCATTAATATTTACATTTTGGCAATGAAATTAACACAACTGCACCCATGTGTTCACAGGAAAAAAGGAGATTCTGCCTCTTAGGATGGGGTATGCTGATTTTTTTTTTCATCCTCAAAATTATCCCCTTTTTTATAAAAGGTGATTATCTTCGATTTTAGAAGGCACAGGCTGTGGTAGTTACTGATTCCTCCAAAGCCTCCATTTTGTCTGAGCTGAGAAGTACAGCAAAATGGCAGTCACTAGCTCCTCAGCAAAATGATGGAGTCACAGAATGGGCAGGAGGGAAAAGAAAATGTAAATACATTTGCATACGGCATCCAAAGAAAGGCTGAGTGCCCAAGAACTTGTGGGTTTTCCCCATCTGTATCTTTCGATCTAATACAAGATATCTACACTATTAACCTTGCTGGCTCGGTGCGTACCTTTGCACGACCACAGCCAGAAGGTAACAGCTGTGCATTGTACAAGCCAGGCGAGGTGGACTGAGTGGCTCTTTTTTGGGTACATAATGAATTAAATCTATTAAAAGGAAACTGATGCCATGCAGGACCCACAGCCACTGCTAGTAAATAGGCCATCTTATTTCATACAGTCTATTGGGTTTGTCTGCAAGGTTTTTCTTCTGTTAGATGCAAACTTTAACACAAAGAGAGGAATATGATTTTTATGTTCTGACCAGTAAACAGCACAAAAATATGACAATGCTTTAGCTAGCCAATTCCTAGGCAGGAAGTATTTTTATCTATACACAATAACATATCTGAAAGGATTAAAACACAAAAGGAAAAAAAGAGCAAACAAACAGATTTTAAGCACTTTAAAAAGTTGTTTCTATTTAACTGCTTAAACCTATTTGACTCAGTTTAATTAAGCTTGTATCTTTTGTCTGAAGACTGTTGTGATGACGGAGCACACTTAAAGACTCCGAAGATTAGCAAATCTGGTGTGAAGGCATCCAGCTCCCCTAACTGGCATCAGTTCATTTATACCACTGTGACAGTTAACCTGTGTACGCTTCAGTAAAATTCAATCGATAGCTATCAGGAGGGATGGGACAGACCCTACGCGTGGTACCAGCTCTGACGGCTGCAGATGTAACAGCCAGACCGGGAAATGCGGCTGCCGTTGCTGTTTCTGCAGCCTCCAGGTTCCTGGCTTCGTTTGCAATTTAAATCAGTGCTGCTGGTCTGAGAAATATTAAAAAAGAAACTCCAGAAAGTGACCACGATCCTGCCACTACAGGCACTGCGATCTGTCTGAAAACCTTTGCAATGCCGCTGTGATAACGATGATAAAACCCCAGCACTGTGGTCGTCCTGTTAATAAAAATAACGCTGAGTGATCAGCGTACTTCGCATTGAGGTTTTCCTCAGAAAGAGTTAATGTAGGATGCCTGCTCCACCAGCCCCCTTTGTAGGCAGACCACAGAAGCCAGGCTCTGACAGACACCGAGAGCATAAGGACTTCTTTCTCTTTGAAAGAAGAAACCGGCGGAGATGCTGGCTCCCGCGGACCGCGCGTTAGGTCCTGCTGAGCCGAACCATCCCCGCTGCCAGCCGGC